CGAGCCGGCCGGGGCCCTTTTTGTGCGGCGTGCAGGAGCCCCCTCGCCGCCCGCGGCCCCCGCCCTCGGCCTCGGCCCTGGGCCGGGCCCCGGCGGGGGCGGGAGCGCCATTCCCGTTGGAGACGGGCGCTGTGCCTGCCAGCCGGATTTGGGTTTTCGTTCAGCCCGAGTGTCCACCAGTCTGCAGCGGTGGCGGCGGGCCGGGCCGCTTCCATGTGGCAGGCTCTGCCCAGCGTCGCGAAAATGGAGCTTTCGGAGGCTCGCCGAGGCCATTTTTCCGTCGTCGGTGGGGGAACTTTTCCGCCCCTGGAAGTGCAGCAGAAAGGCGGAGAGGCCACTAGGCCGTGAGAAGTGGCTGCCATCTTGGAGAGGAGAGTCAGATGGCCTGCACACTTAGGTTAATTGCTGTGTTTTTGGATTCCAGGTGGATGCCGGCCCAGCATGGATCAGGCCTGTGAACTGCCTAGAAGAAACTGTCTGCTGCCCTTTTCCAATCCAGTGAATTTAGATGCTCCTGAAGACAAGGACAGCCCTTTCGGTAATGGTCAATCCAATTTTTCTGAGCCACTTAATGGGTGTACTATGCAGTTGTCGACTGTCAGTGGAACATCCCAAAATGCTTATGGACAAGATTCTCCATCTTGTTACATTCCACTGCGGAGACTACAGGATCTGGCCTCCATGATCAATGTAGAGTATTTAAATGGGTCTACCGATGGATCAGAATCCTTCCAAGACCCTGAAAAAAGTGATTCAAGAGCTCAGTCGCCAGTTGTTTGCACTTCCTTGAGTCCTGGTGGTCCTACAGCACTTGCTATGAAACAGGAGCCCTCTTGTAATAACTCCCCTGAACTCCAGGTAAAAGTCACAAAGACTATCAAGAATGGTTTTCTGCACTTTGAGAATTTTACTTGTGTGGACGATGCAGATGTAGATTCTGAAATGGACCCAGAACAGCCAGTCACAGAGGATGAGAGGATAGAGGAGCTCTTTGAGGAGACTCAGACCAGTGCCTCCTGCAGTTATGAGCCCAAATCAGAGAATGGTGTGAAAGTGGCCATGGGAAGTGAACAAGACAGCACACCAGAGAGTAGACCCGGTGCAGTCCAACCGCCATTCTTGTCGTTAGCTCCTCAAACTGAAACACAGAGAAATAAGCAAAGAATTGAAGTGGACCGCAGCAGTGAAAAAGCAGCCCTTCTCCCCGCCCCCCTCTCACTAGGAGACACAGACGTTACTCTAGAAGGGCAATTAAACTCAGTAAATTTATCTTTTCAGGATGATCCAGACTCCAGTGCCAGCACATTAGGAAACATGCTAGAATTACCTGGAACTTCATCATCATCTACTTCACAGGAATTGCCATTTGTAAGCAGTTTTTGGTACAACTTATAACATATACTCACGTGTGTGTCTACACAGGCCACTTAAAGGGGAAACTTTGCGACAACTTTGTTTTTGGTGGCTTATCGGTTCATGGCCGAAAGCCTTTGCCAGTGATAAGCTTTTTGGGAGAAATTTTACTCGGATTTTAAAAAAACTTATCTCTGCTGTATGAGTTTGGTTCTGTTCAGCTTTTCTCAAATAACTCCCCGCTGGAGACTGGCGAAGTGTTAAACTTTTAAGGGCATTTGATTGATCTCAGAATTAGTTTTCTAAGATGGAGGTATGCATATGATTAGCTTAAAAGAGAGAGATGGGCTTTGCCTCATGAGAGCAGGTGAACCAATTAATTACATGGAGTCCTGTTTCTGTGTAAGGCTTGGTTTATTTTTTTAGTTGATGAGTTGATTCTTGCTGCAGATTGGAGTGCGATTTGAGCACAGATTTAAAATGGTTAGGGAAGGCTTTTTTGGACATTAGTCAAAATTTAAATTAGGCCAGTTTTCTGAACAACCTGTTGTGAAGGTACAGCATCCTGTGCTTTTAATAACTGCCACTATCAGCTCTTGAAACCTTTTCTAGTTTTAATTGATTTATTTTTTTTCCAGATAGGTCTTGCTATGTTGCCCAGGATGGCCTTGAACTCCTAGGCTCAAGCAATCCCTCTGCCTCAGCCTCAAGACTTGCTAGGACTGTAGTAGATTAAAAACTGGAAAGGTGCATACATATATGTATGTGTGTGTAAAGAAATGGAGAAAATCTAATTTGAGTTGGTTGCTATTTTCAGTACTGCTGTGTAGTGTTAGAGGCTGGCAAATGATAGCATTCTTTTTAAATTTGAAATGATACTTGATTTCTTGACTTCTCTAGCTAACTGAATGGCTAGTTCAGTTTTATCACCTCTAGATTCTGAAAGTCCTTTCATCTGTAATTTTTTTTTTTTTTTGAGTTGTAGTCTCACTCTGTCACCCAGACTAGAGTGCAGTGCCGCAGCCTCGACCTGCTGGGCTCCGGCGATCCTTGCGCCTCAGCCTTCCAAGTAGCCGGAATTACAGGCATGCGCTACCATGCCCAGCTAATTTTTGATTTATTGTAGAGATGAGTTCTCGCTGCCCAGGAGGGTCTCGAACCCGCGGGCTCAGGCAGTCCACTCACCTTAGCCTCCCAAAGGGGCGGGATTACAGGCTGAGCCACCCAGCCCGGCTATCTTTAAATATTTTATTGTGATTTTGTTTCTACTCAAACACATTGTCATGGTTACCACTAGTAATGTCATCAAAGAGGAATTTTTTTTTTTTTTCTTTTGGGCCAACAAATCCATCAGAAATAACCTTGTAAAGGGTTTAAGAAAAACTCTTATGGTACGTGGTGGTTGTTTTGAGTTCATTAAATATTCACTTTACCATGTATCCTTTAAAGTTATGGGGAGAGAACGTGGGTGTGTCACTTGTGTTTCTGTTGATTCATATCTTAAATATGCATTAGTATTCCTTGGTTTCTTAGCTTGGCAGTTTTTAGGTTTTAAAAATTTGTTTTAGTGGTTATCTTGAGTCTGTTTTATCCCAGATACATTCAGGTGGATAAGCAGTTTTGAAAACTATGGGCAGCTTAGGCAAATCTTTTTTCTTGTGTTCACATTGAAATTTTACAACTTACAGTTTTGTCTTTGCTTTCATTTACAAATTTAAATCTGAGAATGCAGATAGTTGTTTCTTTAGAAACATACTAATGGAATCCTAAACCTATCTGGTTCTCATCAAAGAGATGTTAGTGGAGTATTAGTTTATTAAAAATAACTGAAAATGTTGGAGCTTTTGGATAGTATCTTTTTGCCTAAAATGTGAGTTAACAAACTTGTATAAATGTAGAAAATGTTTTTTCATAGAGAAAATCTAAATTGTTTAAAGACTTTATCTGCTTGAAGAAGCAAGTGTCTTCTTTTAGGACTTTGATTCAAGGTTGTGGTTGAAACCTATTGCGTTTATTTATTTATTTTGAGTTGGGGTCTCTGTCACGGTTGTGGTTGAAGTCTGTTGCATTCATTTGTGTATGTATGTATGTATGTCGCTGTCTCACACTGTCATCCGGGCTGGAGTGCAGTGGCACGATAGCAGCTCACCGCAGCCTTGACCTGCTAGGCTCAGGTGATCCTTTGCCTCAGCCTTCCCAGTACTGGCCCTACAGGCGCATGCCAACACGCCTGGCTATCTTTTTTTTTATAGTAGAGACAAGATCTCACCATGTTGCCCAGGCTGGTCTGGAACTCCGAGACTCAGATAGTCCTCTAGCCTAGTACTTCTAAATGCTGGGATTATAGGTGTGAGCCACTGTGCCTGGCCCTATTGCTTTTATTTTTGCCTTTTTTTTTTTTTTTAAACAGATCAGTCTCAGAATGCAAAGTTAGCTCAACAGTATAGCTTGGGAAAGGCTACATAATTCTTCTATGTAGCTATAAAGTATTGACTATTCAAACTGTTCCCGGTTGAGTTCAGTTCATCACTTTAGCAGGTATAGACGCTTTAATGAAGGCTGGAACTTTTAGAAAACCCTTAGCAAATGTTATTTATCTTTTATTCTGTCTGTAAATATTGTGATAGAATAAGATTCTCTTGGTAGTAGGTAAGGGTAGTTATTAGAATTGTGGACCCTCTGTCTAGAATTAGAGAAAAGTGCATATGCCAATGTGTTTGCTGTTATTTGTATAGCTAGCTCTAAGCACATTGCTTCCTGTCATGAATGCATAGCCTCTTCGGTTTACCCTCATCTGCTCTTCAGTTATGTACTCTGTATAGAATAATGTGAAATGATTATCATTATGGTTTATAATCCTGACCTGATGCTTTTATGTTTAACTGGATTGATACCTTCTAATTCATCCCAACATACAAAACCTTTATGCTTTGTACATAGTAGGTGTTTGGTAAAATCTCGAAGGAAGGTTGGTTCCGAGAACTCCAAGTTTAAACAGGCAATAACTTAGAGTTTATTAAGTGCTTTGGTCTGGATAATCTCATTGTATTTTCCTAGCTTTGTAGTTAACAGAGATGTCATAGAACTTTCACAGTACTTAGAGTCAAGACTGAAACCCTGGAAATCAGAATTGAGTATTCTTGTCTTTCTTATCTCACTGGCTGAATTACAGTAGTTGTTTGTTTTCTATTCTTCCTCATATATCTATTTTTTGAATTGGAGTCTTACTCTGTCACCCAGGCTGGAGTGCAGTGGTATGCTCACGGCTACCACAGCCTTGAACTGCTAGACTCAGGTGATCCTTTTGCTTCAGCCTTCCTAGTAGCTGGAACTACAGGCATGTGCTACCATGTCTGGCTTATTTTTTTATTTATTGTAGAGACGAGGTCTCACCAAGTACCCCAGGCTGGTCTCCAACCCCTAAGTTTAGGCAATCCTCTCACCTTGGCCTCCCAGACTTCTGGGATTACAGGCCTGAACCACCACAGCCGGCCACTCAGATATTTATATGGAGAATTTGTACTATGGTCGTCTTCATTGAATTTAGAGCTCCTCAAAGTTTTTAGAGTGTAGAAAGCTCTGAGATGGTGTGATATACATATTATATTGGTGATTCTCTTAAGTTCTGTGCTATATAAGTGTTAAGAAATTGAGTGGAAAGCCGGGCTCAGTGGCTCAGCCTGTAATCCTGTGCTTTGGATGGCTGAGGTGAGTGGATTGCCTGAGCCCGCGGGTTTGAGACCCACCTGGGCAACTTGGCAAGACCTCATCTCTACAATAAATCAAATAATTAACTGGGCATGATAGCGCGCACCTGTAGTTCCAGCTACTTGGAAGGCTGAGGTGGAAGGATCGCCAGAGCCCAGCAGGTTGAGGCTGCAGTGGTCGGGACCGTGCCACTGCGCTGCAGTCTGGGCGACAGAGTGAGACTCCAACTCAAAAAAAAAAAAAAAGAAAGAAATTGATTGGAGATTAGTGAAACCTAGAGCAGTTGAAGCTTCAAGAAAGAAGTGGGACTTGAATTGGTCTTGACAGGGTTGGGTTCCTGAAGTTTAGAAGGTACTTTGGATGTGGAGAGTTCAATGAGCGTGGCCTTTTCAGAGGGTACTTGCTAGACCTTGCTTGGGTAGGATGAGAATAATCAAGTAGTAGGGCCTAGAAATCCAGACTGACACATTTGGTATTGAGGTGAGACGAACTGGAAGCCAGTGAGGGGTTTTAGTTGTTAAGCGATATGCTGAAATCTATGTTTGGAAGGCTGGAGAAGATGAGAAGCAAGTTTAGGGTGTCAGTGTCCTGGTAGAGTAAGCCTGTTGGAGTAGTGAGCTATTGATCCTGCCTGTGAACAGCCAGTGCATCCCACCCAGCTCGGGCAGCATAACCAGGCACGTCTCCTCTATTATTTATTTATTTATTTTTTTGAGTTGGAGTTTCACTTTGCCACTCAGGCTGGAGTGCAGTGGCGTGCTCACAACTGGCCACTGCAGTCTCAACCTGCTGGACTCAGGTGGTCTTCCGCCTCAGCCTTCCAAGTAGCTGGCACCACAGGCTTGTGTCACCACACCTGGCTAATTTTTTGATTTATTGTAGAGATGAGGTCTCAGTTGCCCAGGCTGGTCTCAAATCCCTGGGCTCATTCAGTCTTCTCACCTCTGCCTCCCAAAGTGCTGGGATGACAGGTGTGAACCAGTGTGCCCAGCCTATTCTCACATGTTTAAACTTCAATCACCCTCAAAGTACTCTCTGTTTTATGTAATACATCTATCGAGACGCTTTCTCCACTGCTCAGAAAGTTTTTTGAACTTGTCAATTTTGATGCCTTTTAGTGCTGCTGCCGTTTTTTGTTTCACCTCTTCCACATCAGCACAGGCTTCCCTTTGAGGAGTTTTTCATCTGGGGAAACAAAAAAGTCACTCACAAAAGTTACTTGAGGTGAGATCGGGTGAATAGGGATGGTGAGCACCGGGGTTGTGCTGTTTTTGATCAAAAACTGCAGGACCCTAAGCACAGTGTGGGCAAGTGTGCTTGTGAATTGCCCATTATGAAGTGGGCAAATGCGTTGAAAGAATCTCCAAAAACAAAAATTTACTGAAGCTGAATGCAGCCTCTCACAACAACACTAGCTGGCCCACTGATGCTGATGAGTTCCCAGAACATTTACCTGGTAGGGGAAGCATGTACTACATGGGGCCCCCCATCCAAAAGATAATTTCAGTTGCTTTGAGTCCTCCTTTTTGAGGCAATTAGTTAAAATTTCTTGTAGTCCAGAAGTTTTTTTTCCTCTTGCACCTATTATGCCCTGAATCATAGAGAGTAAGTTTCTGCAGC